AGGCAACAACATTATAACATGGCTTAAATCTCACAAGGGTCAATTTTGCTTAATATAAGACCTTTAAACTTGCTGACTTGAGCAGTTGTGAAATAAATGGACTATGTAAATTGCTGGATGGTCTAAACATTGGTTCATCAGAGAGGGCAGGTCCGGTAAAGCGAAGAGGTAAACAAGGCCAGACTTTGGGTGAGCTCTGACACCGCACACTCATTATGGGATGACGTGGGTGAGTGCGTGCGACTGGATGCAATTACAGCTAAAAAAAAAGGTCCATTTGCAAGTATTCTGTGTCGGTTTGCTTGTGTAATTTAACTTGTACTGATACTTAGCAGCTGCTGTCATCATCATTCTCTGGGAGTGTGAAGCCAACTGTAGGCTCTGCTCTGTCTGAGGCTTTCTTAGACTTTAATCTGTGCTTACAGATTTGATCACAATCTAAGCAGAAAGAACTGACTTGGCTGGAACTACAACAGGTGAGGTGATCTGGGCTGTTGAACAAGTCTCACACAAAAAAATTACAATCACATGCGCACTAGCATTACCCAGTAGTTTTCCAGTTTTTCTTGATTTTCTGTTGAAATTTCAAACGCCTAAACAGGACCGTGAACACAAGTACTGATCACAGGGTCCTGGAAATGTGCTGTTTAAATCCATTTTGTATTTTTTCTTGAGTTTTAAGACAATCTTAAAACTTTTTTTGACTGTTAATGTGTGCATTGTGTCACCATGGTAACTCCTACACATTCAACCATTAGAGATACGTGTAGAACACCACCAGCATGAGGTCTGCGCAAGGTAGTGATTAACTGAGAACTTGTTCCAGTAAAACAGCTAAGTAATACATTTTTATATAGTTTGACAAATGCCTCTCAAATACCTGAGCATAAATGTGCAAATGTATTCTAACACGCTAACTGACAGCTCACAGTATCGTCATGCTGGGGGTGTATTTCTGTGTATTTCTACGGTGGTATGTTCCTCAATTACCATGGTGACATAATACACAGCAATAACTACAAGAACGTTTTTAGGTTGTCCGAAAACACAAGAAAAAACACAAAATGGATTTAAACGTTGCATTTTCAGGAGCTTGCAATCAATTCAAGTGTTCATGGTCCTGTTTAGGTGTTTCATTTTTAACAAAAGAGTAAGGGCCTGTTTACACGAGAACATTTGCGGGTAAAAACAACTAAATATTTTTAAGTACCATTCGTTTAGAAGTTTTTGGGGCTTAAAAATGCAAAAATCTGAAACCACCCTCCAGAGTGGAAAAGTTGAATACGCTCCGCCGTCTCGTTTCCGTCTACACTGCCCAAGATGCAAAACTCTGGTCAGATCTGCTCACATCACGTACGTGTTGATGTCACATATATCACCACCTAGTGTCAACACCTAGCCGCCTGGCACGTATAACAAAATCGAATTCCACACACTTTTGCGTCACTGTATGCGCGCACAATTCCTTGTCTAAACGCGGAATAAAAAGTGAAGACACGACCCCACTTTTGCGTCTTCCATTCAGACTGTCATCATATAAACGTAGCCTGAGAGACTTTTTTAAATGCACAAATAATCTCACCCGTGGCCATCCCAGTGAAGTCTGCTCTTTCTGGTCAGACTGTGTTAATAATCAGACCTTTAATTTAAGTCTAACCTGAGTACCAGAGCTTCTAAACAGAGCAGAGCAAAGAATGTTGAGGACATCAGCAGCAAAGTATCTTGTAATGGGCTTGTTTATGTTCCATATCCAGACATAGGTGATTGGGTTTCCTAGATGATACATAATTTCATTGTTAGACAGAACGCAAGCACAATCATATTAAAATGGTAAACGAAAACAGAGCACGATAGCTGCCTTAAAACAATCACAAAACAGAGACAAAGACCTAAAAAAAGCATCGTCATTCTTCCTTTACCTCGAGTATGAACGTGCTCCTCTCCGATGTCTACAGATATTGACTGAACATGATTTATTGACTTTGTTTTTCATGTGAGACCAGCCATTTGTAAAAAGCAGCATCTCAACTTTCTCAGAGACATCTTTACAACCAGCCGGGAACAACAAAAACGCCACTGAATTGAAAAGGTGCATTGTGTAACTTTTCAGGGACAGGAAGATGGAATTACTTTGTCTGAAATGTTTCACAGTGTGGCATTAAACTTACCAATCTTCCGTTCTTTCAATTATGGGTGTTTTTATTGCACGGTCCATCCTCTGCCCAGATTGGATCGGTATCTCAGTCTGGAAGGATCTCCTGCTCGTTTCCATGGAGACAGTTCAATTTAAGACCATACCGTGAAAGATTCCAAGCAAAGCAATAATATTATTCACCAGAAAAGTTACACAGTGTGACTTTGAGAGAGTGCCATTCATGGGTTTCAGCTTCCTGTTGACATTTTGAGAACTTTTTACCATTCATAAGCTATATTATATTTTGTTTTAATTTGTTAAATGCCATGGCAACAGTCCCACTTGGTCAGAATTCTGAAACCCCACGAACAGAGTAAACATGAGAAAAGCACAGACACTGACCGACTTTCGCTGTAAAGAATCAGCAGAACAATCAAAGAGCAGTATTTCGATGTAAAACTCAAAAAATAAGTGAAAGCTGCACTATGTAACTTTCTGCTAGTCTCCATGGAGATGTTATCGCTTTGCTTAGAACATTCCACACTACAGCTTTGCCTTGAATCTCCCACCGTATGGAATTAAACTTAGATAATCAGGCTGAGTTACAGGTCAGATCTGTGGAGAGGCGATCCCCCACACAATGACAACACGTTTCTCAAGGTATTCTATTAGCTGTAGTTGAATAAAAAAAAAAAAAATAGAGAGAAATATGTTGTCATGCTGTAAAATATATAAGCAAAGTGTAATATCTACATGGAGACAAGTAGGTACCCCCTACCACAAAAGTTACGCAGTGCCCCTTTTTGACAAGACATTCTGAAAGTGATTTTAAACTTAAACTGTACCACACAGCAACATAACAAACTCAGATCTAGCTCTCTTTCTCTTGATCCCTCATCACAGCATTAGTTTGGTGAATGAAAAACCGACTACAATGATACAGGTTCTTCTACAGGCTTTATGGCTTCAGAGCTTTACACGAAACATAACAACATTATAGTGTGTTTCAAAATGACATATTTAGTTAGTTATGAGAAATTAAACATATGAAAATAGTACTTCAGCTCTCAGACAGTCTTTGGAATAATATAATATATGATTTGATATGAATGAACGTTAAATTTGGTCTCCGTTTCTCATTTACAACATCTGGTATAGTCCATTCAGTAATATGAAAAATACAATGCTTTTATAGATTATATACTCTTTCTTTCATATAAATAGTTTCCTTTGTATTCTTAAAGCCTGCACTTGAACCAACGCTTCTGTTTTAATTACATTTTTCAGCTAAGAAATTCTATTCAATATATGTTAACTCACTAACATCTGTGGAGAATAGAAGCTTTTCCAAGGCCGATGCAAATACTGATTATGTAGAATACAGAGCAACCCATGGCTGATAAGCTCTGCCGATATTTTTGAGCCAGTTTTTATTATTTTCCCCAAATGATGTACTTTAAATTTACTACAAATTCACATCCACAGCTTTAAGAGAATGGTGTAGTCAAGTTTTTGCAGATATCTCTTCGTATTAGTGTTAATATAAAGCTTTGTATGTATTTTTTAGGCAGCGCATTGACCAAAACAAAATATCGGCCTATTCTGGAGATTTAAAAGACAGATTTCAAGATTGATTTAAAAGCTTATATGCGAAACAGTCCAAATATCGGTCTCATATATCGACCAATAGATCTATCGGTCTATCTTCATGAAGATTTGGTAGAAGTTCATAAAACAACACTCAGTCACAGCTAAATTTGTTTTGTAAGTTTTTGTAAGTTTCGCAAAAATCATAAACAGCGAAAGGTTAAACCAGTGTTAAAAGAAGGCTGCGTGTGTTTTGGTGAGTCATGTCCAGCCTGCCACTTTGACACACACGTGCAGGAGACTTTGAGAAAATTCAATTTGAGCTAGACAAGGAAATGACTGTCTGCCCCTCTGCCTCTGCTGTCAGATCCATTATCCTTAAAGAAATGTGGAGGGGAAGCATCGAGCAGTCTCAGTAAACATGACATATTCTCAAAATGGAGAAGCAGTTTTAGGCGTCTTAAAATACAGGCAAAACTATAATTTCAAGATCCTATATTACGGTATTTTCTGATCTGTTATAATGCTGTTTCCTCATCAAAAACATAACTGGAGTGTGTGTTTAGTTTCATTCACACATGCGTTTGAGGAGGTAACAACATTCTAACATGGCTTAAAGCTCACAAGAGTCCATTCTGCATAATAAAGGACTTTTAAAGATCTTTAGAAAACTGGAACAACCTTTCCGATCGTCCTGCGCTCTCCCTTCCTCGGTAATGCGAATCTTGGAAATGTAAGGCAACACTTTAAAAGACGAGAAAGTATTGAATGGCCACTAACAGCTCAAAAGCAGCACGAAACTGGAGTGCTCTACCCATACAACTACAACTAAAGATGGCAATTTGGGAAAACTGCAATGCCCATTATCATCTCAGAAGAACTTAAGTGTATTCTATTTCAGATTATAATGAAATCGAAATGAAATAGTTTTGACATGAGGACAAAAACGTATTTCTTAAGTTTCGGTAAAAAAAAAAAAAAATCATGTCTGTATTGATACTTTGCAGCTGTTTGTCATCAACATTTCTAGGAGGGGTGAAGCAAACTGGAGGCACTGCTCCGTCTGAAGTATTGTAACCAGAGGTGGGACCAAGTCATTGTTTTGCAAGTCTCAAGTAAGTCTCAAGTCTTTGAGCTCAAGTCAGAGTCAAGTCACAAGTACCATTTGAGTACAAGTACATGCAAAGAATCAAAAGTCAAATCAAGTCAACTGAAAAAATTCAAGTCAAGTCAAGTTTCTCAAGTCAAGTCAAGTCAAAAACAAGTCAAGTCCGAGTCCAAGTCACGACTTGCAAGTCCCCACCTCTGGTTGTAACTCAAGTTAGACTTTATGGTCAGATTGTGTTAAAACAAAGCCCAGATTAACCTACAACCAACAGGTGAAAATGTGCTGTTTAACTTAATTTTGTATTTTGGAACTTAGATCTTAAAACTAGTTTAGCTGTGTTTGTGACACCATGACAACATGCATTGTGACACCATGATAACTGTTGAAAATTCTGCCATAGGCACGCATGAAAAAGCCTACACCCCCAGCGTGATGCCAGTGCAAAGTATCAAAATTTGCAGTATTAAATGTCTTGATTTGCAGATAGTAGAAGTATGATAATGGTTGGTGTGAGTTTTACAAGTTGGTAACACATGACTGACACAGTGATTGCCAAGTCAATGCAGTATAACATTTACAGAGCAGCTTTGCAGAGACATGCATATTAGCAAGACACACACAACGAAATAGGCCTATGGAGGTTTTAGTTCATGTAATGATGTGCAAACGTGTTATTTTTAATTACAAGTTAGATTTTAAAGGGTTTTAATAAATATATAGCGTAATATATATAATTTACATTTTCCTTACTGCATAGATTTTTACATTTTTTGCCAACTATACGCCAGCACTTAGTCACGTATAAAACAGTGATGTAAGACACAAATGCTTTATATAATAATTATAATCTCCAGTAAAATAACCCTGAATGATAAAAGAATAAAATCTAAAGCACTTATAAAAATATTTGGAGATAATAAAATAAAATCAGTACAAGAAGTAAAAGTAAAAAAAAAACTACTTAAGGGGCACTTAAAACTCTTAAGGCTCATAGAAAAATCAAAAACAGATATTCTCATAGATGATTAGCGCAGAGAATCGAACAGCTAACTGACATCTGCACATCTGTGCTGCATCACTGTGTTTTAATTAGCTCCCTAAGCACATCTCAAGAGCATCTCCAACAACAATTACCCTTGAAATTAAATTAAAGGTGCCCACAAAGCTATTTTTTTTGCCACAAGGCCACTATTTTGAAAGCACAACTACTGAAAGTGTGGTTCTTACCCCAATAAATACATCCCTGGAGTTCCCCTCAACACTGGCATGGGACAGAATGCCTGGAATCTGTTAAAGGTGCACTGTGTAACTTTTCGGGTGGCATCCGTCACCTTCTTGTTGCTATGGATATGCCATTGCTCTGCCTGGAATGTTCCACAATATGGCATAAAACAGATCTACCTTAAATCTTACATCAGAAAAACAGGTATTCTGACTGTGAGCACGGTTGCCTCTCCACAGATCTGACCTGTAACTTGGTCTAGTTTGGTCTCCATGATGGCAGAACTGTGAAACATTCCATACAACACAATAACATCTCCATGGAAACAGATAGCGGACACTCCGCCAGAAAAGTTACACAATGCACCTTTAACAAACATCCTTGAAATTAAATATGTCTTCATTAGAATAAGCAGATTGCACCAAGTGAAAATTATACTTAAAATAAGGCAAAATAGTCCAACTAGTAGCTACACTGCACTGTATGTTTGGATATCCAGTGTTAAAAATGGGGCCAAACTCAATGTGCGTTTTTAAAGGTGGACATTGCATTTACAGCAGTTCATATAATGTAGAGATTTAAGAGCCCGTCGAGGGGAAAATAAAAGTCACTGATGAGAGTAAAACAGTCCAAACCTTTGGTAATGCATAGTTCTTTCCTGAATTTCAATCTGACAGGCCCTCTCCATCCTGTCTACCAAAACACACTGCAAAAATCTTACATCTAGTTAAAATTACTTGAATTTAGAGATGTGATTAGGTAAAATTTTTTGCTCATGAAATTTTTGTTATACTTCCTGGCATTTCTGAGTAGATCCAAGATATTCAAATATTCAATATTCATGTTAATTTTGTTCAAAGTTGTGAGATATAAGATGTATCAATCAACAAATCTGCTTAAAGGTGCATTGTGTAACTTTTTTGGTGGAGGATCCGTCACCTGCTTGTTTCTATGGAGAAACAGGCATTCTGACAGTGAACGGGGCTGCTTCTCCACAGATCTGACCTATAACTTGGTCTGGTTTGGTCTCCATGAAGATAGAAAGATTTAATACCATTCTGTTTAACATTCCAGACAAAGCAATAACATCTCCATGGAGCATTTGACGGACCCTCTACGAGAAAAGTTACATAATGCACTTTAACGGACACATGCAGTTTTGCTACCCCACTGGCAAATAATGAATGGGTGTGAAGATTTGGATAATAGCGTATTAAATGTGGTCAATAAACTAACAAATAAAACTAAAATATAATTATCTGCGTCCATGAAAATCAAGCCTAACAAGTAAAAAACGACTAAATCCAACTCCATGAATTCAAGAAATTGCAACAATACATTTTGCAGTGTGGTATCTTTCATTTCATACCAGTTCGTACAACATTTTTGGCTTTAAATTACCAGATCAAGTTGAGTACATTGAATGCCCCACTCCTCCATATGCGCTCTATGGCAGGAAGGGCTCATCCTCCTCTTCGTCCGCACTCGGACCCGGGTCACTTAAACACCTCGTGAGTTTCTGCTGCTCGCGGTCTGGATCTTCTGACCGGTTTTGGGCTGGGGGTCTCATGACGAGCCCCTGGTCCTCGTCTGGTTTGGACTCATTCTTCTTCTTCAGCTCGTCCATGAGGTTCACAGAGTCCGGAGACTGAGGCGAGGCCAGGTCCACGTGGATGGTGGGCACGTCGTCTGCGGTGGGCTTCATGCTGTAGGCCTGCGGGTCTGTGAAAGGGGAGAGTTGGTAAAGCAAATATAGAAAATATAAATAGAAAAAATAAACATGCTATAAACAGAACTATTCACTTGGGGTGGGACGAGACAGTTTTCACGAGATGAGACACAAGACTGGGTCCACATGACATTATTTATAATGAATTGGGTGGCTTGGATCACAATTTCATCCTCACAGTTTTTATTTATCATTTGTAGTAGCTCAAGAAATGTAACTCACCAGCACGAAACTCCAGTGTAAACACATGGAGGAAAAGAGATAGAGCTCACTCTCATGTGTGCACAGTCTTGTGGCAATTCTGTCTCACCGGATCTTGTTGCACGAGATCCTGTCCCATCCCTACTTTTCACGTAACACATTTTATAATGCAGTGATGGTGAAACATTTGGATTCTTAGAGCACTTTCACTCAAAACTCACTCCCAACCAAATTGTTATTGGTTAAAATGAATTGTAACCAATAATAAGGTCTACAAAGCTTTATCCACATGACCCTGTGCTACAGGCTCCATCAGGATGCACCTCTACAGATTTGGCCCTGTGTTTCACATGAGTTTACTCTAGAGAAATGATTTAAAGTGATGAAGCTTTGATGAAGTTTATTAAAGGTGATGAAGCTAATTTCAAAAGGTTTATTTTTCTAGAACAGATAGAAAGATCATGTATCACCAAAAACATTTCTGAAATCAACATCTTTATGGTGTCTATCTGGTCTGTTTGCACAGAGTAATAATTATCAGTCTAAAACCTAATATATATATAAATATATATATTTAACAGGCAATATGTACAATATAGTATGTCCTAGGCCCCAGTGTCGAGAAAAGGGTTTGGGCTGCATCTTTATGTAAATGTTGTTTTTATAACATCACATACAAAAAAATGCAGTCAGGAAATCAACAACTTTCACGCTCCTGTGGCCTTGTTTAATATCAGCGAGCTCTGGGTGGAGGTAAATCATGTGAGGGGCATCCAGATGGAGCCTGCAGGGTGGGCTCATTTGGACAGAGGTCTCTTGAATGCACAGTGAAGAAATTATCTTTACTGGTCACATGTAAATGATCATTTATGGGCTAAAACTTGGTTATTCACTCAAGATTTAATTCATCACAGTAACCTTGTATACCACGATTTGGCTCGGATCAGAGTGTGAAAATGCAATGTTTCACCGTGTATGAAAGAAACAAAACATTTTAGTCACAATTCACAACTCAACTAAATGCAAATCCATAAAATCAACCCTTTCCGCAAACCTTAGTAATCATAACTGATGGATGTTAGCATACTGAAGATGCACCATGCATGTTAGAGGCTCTTTGTGGTTACCATGACTCATCTGCTCTGCACTCAGCACCTACCTGACCCCATTATGCTTTCTGTCTGCAGCTGAGGTTTGAAATCAGTATCTCTGCCTAAAATCAAAACCACACACACACACTTACACACAAATATATATAAACACACATATACACACAGAGACACAGACAAACTGAAAGGTTACATCTGCTGGTGACATGTTTTACTGGAGAGCTCTTAACCCCCTTAAAGGTCCTGTATTCCACCAAACTGACTCTTGTGAGCTTAAAGTCATGTTAGAATGTTCTTATCTCCTCAAAAACATACCTGCAGTTGTGTTTTGTTTCATTCACATATGTTTAAGTAATACTGTTTTATTAGTTTGTCTACATTTTCAAAGCTCAAAATGCTGATGTCATGAAGCGGTTGTTTTCATGTTAAAAGCTCTCTTTTACCTTGTGTTCATTAAAGATTGGCAATTCCAGGGTTGAAATCATCTAATGAGTTCTAGTGAAGGTGTAAGGAGTTTAAAAACACAGTGAAGCACTTGCTGTATTACCACATGGCATCACAAGGTGGAAGGTGTTAAACATGTGTGAAAGAAACAAAACTCCACGTATGTTTTTGAGGAGGTAACAACATTATATCTTGCACTATTTTCTGACAGTCGGCGTCAGAGCACATCTACTGGAGGGGCGTGGGTCAGCAGCGGGGGGGCACTGCCATTTTAAGAAATATTTTAACTATGATAATAGCAACTCAACAATAATAAAAGGTTGAGGTTTATATAAAAAAAAAAACAATAAGGCCTGCCACTGATAAACATTAGACAACACCCCTGAACAACATCACTGAAAGAAGCACGCAATTGGGCAACAAGCAGCCACGCATCGGCAGCACCAGGGGTGTAGTGGGCGTGGTACACGGGGGTACGCCGTTCACCCACTTCTCCTAACGTGAGAAATAACAAATATAAAATAGGTACAACTTAAATGTCAAACCAATGGCTGCTGGGGGGGGCACGGCCCACAAATGTCTCACCTTGTCGCCAACACCGTTTTCTGATCTACTAGTAATATGGCCCCTTTAAAATATTGTGTCTTTTTAAATTCCTTTAATTCAAGTAAAGATGGTGTAGTTACCTGAGGCCAGTCTGGCTCTACACATGGTCGGAGAATCGGGAGGAGGAGCGGGCACTGTCAGATAGTTGTTCATCTCCTTTATCTGGAAACAAGAAGAAATTCCAGAAAAATTAATTTCATGGACTAAAATGTACATCTGAAAAAAATTGAATTAAAAATGAATCCATATATCTGCTTTGAGTATTTAGTAATATTCAAACCTTTTTCTCCATCACCCTCTTTTTCCTGAGAATAAGGTCATTAAAGCCATCCTCATATGGATCAGCCACCAGAGTGTGACGGTTGTACGAGTGGAGCTGGAAAACACACAAAACAAGGTTTAATAAAACCCAACAACCATGGCATTATTAAAGGTGCATTATGTAACTTTTCTGGTTGAAAGTCTAGGTGTGAAGTTGGCTATTGTACACAGTTTCTAACTTTAAAACATTTTATCCATACACTCAAACTGAAGAGGGATACTGTACCAATTGCGTTTGCCACTACAAGGCTTCTTGGTTCCTGGGATGAGTAATGATATTGATTCACCCCTCTCCAGACACATCAGCAAACAATCAATACTATACATTAAGACCCTCAACATCATTATTACTGTGGCAAAGATAAAACATGTGCATTTGTGTGTAATAGTACTATGAATACGATGCAGTCAAATAGAATGCGCCTATATTTTAGTTAAAGCAGCACTGTGTAAGATTCTTAATAGGGGGCAAGCCACCTGCATCCATCTGTTCTGTGCTTTTATGCCCTTCTGTTAAATGTTAAACTCCAGGGGGGCTAATTTGGTTCACTTTTGCACTGTCAGGAGAAAAAGGGAGCCCATACCAGTCTATCCCCCTAAAAACTCCAAAATAAATTCAGAGATAAACTTTTTAAGTGATAAAAACGTATAGGTTTGGAACTCAGATCATTAAGGCACACTGTAAAAACATCCGGGCAGCCCTGGTTTAAAGGTCTGTGGAGAGAGTCTCCCCAGAGCAAAAGTGCATGTCTATTCTTGGCTGAAATATTCCATGGTGACGCTTTTACACAATAGTTTTACCCTCTGTCGTGTCCTCTGAAGGTTGCTCCGTAGAATGCTTCTGATCTCCTCCTCTTTTCCTTTAGGCAGCTGTGGCAGCATCCTGTCTGTAGATACAGGCTTCCTGGGCTGGATGTTCCTGGAATATACAGTATGTGCAACCACACTTTAGTACAAAGATACCCACAATATACAATACAGAGAGACAGGAAAGAAGACCAAAAAGTTCACAAAATAAGTAACTGGTAGCTGTCCATAGAGTAGCAATACAAAAACAATATAAAAAGTATTAAAAAAAATGCACAGATCCAGCTTTTTTACTTCAGATATTGATACTGATATCTGCTGATGAGGAGTGTAACGATTTCCAAGTCTCACGATATGATATAGTATGAACCTCACGGTACGATATTTATTGCAATATCATGGGAAAGCTCACGATATGGTGGGGAGGCTCATGATTAGAGATATAACAATATCCAAATCTCACGGTACGATATTTATTGTGATATTTTATGGAGTCTAACAAAACTGTTAATACGCTTCTTTTTCCTCTTAAAATGCCTTGACAAGACTTGATCCAAAGAACCAAGACTTAAAAGTGCTTAGAACTGTTATTTCTTCTTGTAGTCTGCACTCAAATAAAGCAAAGGATCATGGTCTATGTAGTTCTCTGTCTTTTTTTTTTTTTTTTTTTTAGCTTTTGCGGCACCATAACTCAATTTAAGAGACTATAATTCGATATACTGTGATGGTCCATGATATTATTGTGAGAACTTTGACGATACGATATCACAATATTTTGGTGATACCAATGTAAAGACAGAAAATTTTACTCATTTCCTTAAAACATAGCTATTTTGTTACACAAGAGATCCATTTGGGTTACGCAACTTCTGTTTCAGCCAGGATACCGGTTTAAACAATTCCATGAAACTGACACCCGATCTAGCAAATTCTTTAGTAAATTCTCTAGTATTGGTATCGGTGCATCCCTAGAAATAACCCGATAAGCTGCTGGGTCACCACAGTATCTATCACACTAGTGTCAGAATCCTTTTGAATGAAGTTAAGCATTCAGCATCTTAAAATATCCACTGGTTTAAAATTAGACTAACAGAAAATGTAAAAAAAAAAAAGTTATAATAAAACCAACGAATCTGCTTTTGTTAGTGAGTGAGAGGACAGACACTTTGACATTGTATAAAAAGTTGAGCTCTTACTGCATGGACACCGTAGAGGGTATAGCGGGCATGTTGGCTCCTCCTTTCTCCACCAGCTCAATGGCCTGTTTCATCTCCATCTTGTGAAAAAAGGCTATAAGCTGTGGCTCTTCACAGCGGTCCCCTGCAATCAAACACCTCTTCACGTACTTTTTGTTGAATCGATTCAGTCTGGAAAAGACCACAAAAACAGTACAATTTATCCACAATGCTCTTTACATTTAGGCTTCAATTACAACAAGGAGCACTCCATTAGTTTAAAAGGGCCCATATTACGCTATTGTCTGATCTGATGTTGATGATGTGGTTTTCTCATCACAAATAGACCGAGAGTTGTGTCTGTTTCTTTCGCACGTGCTTAACGCAGACATTTGCATATTTGGGCGGACTTCTTTTCTCAAGCAAGACTTTGTTCCACCTTGTGATATCATGTGGTAACAGAGGAAGTGCTCAACTGTATTTTTAAAGTCCATACACACTCACTAGAATCATTTCGATCATTTCAGCCCTGGAATTGCCAAGCTCAACAAAACAAAAGGTAAAAAGTAGAAGGTGAAAGGAAAACTCAAATGTGTGTGAATGAAACAAAACACAACTCCAAGTATGTTTTTGATGACGTAACAACATTCTAAAGTGGTTTAAAGCTCACAAGAGTCAATTTTGCATAATATAGGACCTTTAATTGTTCAAGATGGATCTAGTTTGACTACATATCTGGTTTTCTCATACCAGTACCAAGTTCAAAAGCCCTATAAACCCCGAGCCCCCACTAGTCAGATGAACCACATTTTTGTGTGTTACCATGTGTGAAGTCTCTGCGCTTGACTGAAGAAGCACTTGTTCTCTAGTGTGTGTAATATGTGTCTCTCATTTTCTGTCACTATGGCGACTCTGTGTTTATGAGACACTTGTTTGTGAGTTTAGTTTTAGCTGTATCCTTTTTAGTTGTCATTCGATTCTGTAAGTAGGCCTGCTTGACTTGATTTAGATCTTTCTTAAATGTTCACTATGTAACTTTTTGGTTGGGGGTCTCAACTGCTTGTTTCTATGGAGATGCCATTGCTTTGCCTGGATTGTTCCACAGTATGGCATTAAACAGCTCTACCTTACTTTTAAAAACAGGCATTTTGACTGTGAGAGGTGTTGCCTCTCTACAGATCTGACCTGTAACTTTCTCTTCCATGATTATAGAAAGGTTTAATACCATACTGTGAAACATCTCAGATGAAGCAATAACATCTGGAGACAAGCATTTGATGGACCCTCCACCAGAAAGTTACACAATGCACCTTTAAGTCCTTGCTACGTGGTTTACTTTATGTTCATTACTTAGTTTAGGTTTCATGTTACTTTAAATTTCGTACATATTTTATCTCATGCCAATGTACTTATCTCTTGCAGCTCTGTTAATTAGAGCACTACTTTATTTCATAATTTTATATCTTGGTTCTGACAGTGGCAGAGCTGGTTCCCAACAGCACAATGTATGCCACAGGACTTGAACAATTCTTAAAATGTTGACGATTCTTACTTGTCCTTCCAGTGGTGATGTCCGTAGTGACCACAGATATCCTCAATTCCAGTCAGGAGGTGGTCCAAGAACTGCGGGTAGAGCGCAAAATTATATTAAATAGTGTAATATAGAGCCTTTAACATGGAACTGATTTGAATACATCATTGGAGTTTTCACATACCAGTACCAAGTTCAAAATCCTTATAATCCCCCAGCCCCCACTAGTCACACAAGTGACCCAGCCCCTTTGCTAGTATTCACATAGCAACAGTGGGTCTAACTAACTTTAAAATATCCATCTGTGTTGTGTAGTTCAAGGACCCCTTGAAAAAGAGGTATTTTATCTCAAGGGCCTATCAAAAATAAAAAAAATATATAAATAAATGTAACAATTTAATTATGTGGGAAGTAAACCATGCACTTATACAAAAAGACCAAATAAAACAAAAAAGATGAAGTAAAACTCTAGTAGTGGTAGCTGTAGTTCTCGTTGTTGTTATTGTTGAAGTTAAAGTAATAGAAATACTGTTGTAGGTGAAGTAGTAGTTGTACTGCTGTAGAAGTAGTAGTTGAAGTAGTAGTTGTACTGTAGTAGGAGTAGTAGTTGTTGAAGGAGTAGGAGTACTTGAAGGAGTAGTAGTAGTAGTAGCAATAGTAGTTGTTGAAGGAGTAGTTGCACTGTTGTAATTGAAGTAGTAATTGTAGTGTTGTGGTTGAAGTAATAGTTGTACTGTTGTAATAGTAGTTGTAGTTGTAGCAGTTGTAGTTGTAGTAGTTGTTGTAGTTGTACTGTTTTAGTAGTTGTTGTTGTAGTAGTAGTTGTTGTAATTGTAATAATAATAGTAGTAGTAGAAGTAGTAATAGCTGAAGTAGCAGTTGTACTGTTGTAGCTGTTGTTTTAACTGTAGTAATACTAGTAGTTAAAGTAGTAGTTGTAAGTAGTAGTTAGTAGTGTAGTAGTAGTAGTAGTAGTAGTAGTTGTATTGTAGTAGTAGTTGTAGTAGTTGTTGTTTGTAGTAGTACTAGTAATGGTTGAAGTAGTAGCTGTACTGTAGTAGTAGTAGTTGGAGTATTATTATTATAAAATCCTCAGTTCCAGTCAGGAGATGATCCAAAACTGTGGGTAGATTGCAGCATAATAAAAGTGTTCCTCAAACACTTAGAAAGCACGATTTTGTTGCTGTATGAGGCATTACTCAGCTGAACCTGTATCCCTTGGTGCCCTCACTGCTGCTACAATCCTTCACAGTCACATCTTTCCTACATCATTACCAGCAGCGGCGTGATGGGTTTTTGCAGCGGGGAAACAGCAGAGAGCGCCCTGTGTGATGGATAGGCCAGTATTTAGTCTGTTTCTTGGTTGTCTGCGCAGCTTGCCTCTGTTCTGATGCATTAGACTTATATCTTCAGAAGGGTTCAGCTGGTCCCAGGTCACTCGCCCACTTATCTTTTGACTTGACAACCGCCCGTTTCCATGACAACCCACACATGTATTTGCACCACTGGCTTGTGAGGGCTGAATTTGAGTTATGTAAACAAAAAAAAAAGCACTTCCAATCTGGTGAGTTGGCAATGTCAGTGTTAGAACATGCATATAGAACAAGACCAGGCCAATCTGCAGAGCTACAAGACACAACAGACTTTTTATGGCTCCAGGATAAGTAATATACAAGTAACTATTGTTAAGTTTCAGCATTACAATATTCTTTAGGCCTGTAACACTTAATACAGAGAGGGGACAGCTAAAACTAATCCAAGTTTTCTGTTGCAAATGGGTCTACCAACAATTAACAGGTTTCAGATTCAGATCGGAGGACATCATTTTAATTTTGTTTTGAATTATTTTTCTCTATGGTAGCAGTGCAAATTTTGTATTACTCCCTTTAAAATAAAGTTGTGTATTACTTCAATCATCACTGCAACATTTAAACACAAACTGATTTCCTTGTGCATGGTATGGCTCTAAAATTTAATTAAAGCCAGACTATCTTACAATAATCAAATCTACTTCCCTGTGTACTGTTACCTACAATAGCAGTTCAGGTTATAACCATGTTTCAGTACAAAAAATAAAGTAAACCAAAGGTTAGCTTCTATTCTCTGTGCTGTAGCAGACTGTTATTTAAAGTTTTCCAAGTGAAGGCAGTATACTCTCCTGGGCCTGTGACTCACCACAAAGCCCAAAAGAGGTGTGGGCGGCTGCATGCACTGTACTCTTACTATGAGAACATAATACTTCAATCTGAGAGCTGTCTGACACGGTTTCTAGTGTGGGTTTGTTCATTAATAAAGAAAAGTGAGCTGGAAGCAAAATGCATGTAGGTTTAGAAATAAAATGAAGTTCCAGCACATGGCCAGTAGGTGGGAGCAATCTTCATGTTTTCATACCCTGATGAGCGATACTACAACACTGCCACTCGAAAGTTTGTATACACTTTCTTTTTCAATATATTTTTTCTTTAAGTTTATCACATACATACAGAAGTTGCAAGATAGAAAGACAGATGGAATTATGTAGCAAAGAAAAAAGAGAAAAACCCAACTAAATGTTTTATATTTTATATCCAAAACCTCAAAGTAGCAAATCTTTGGCCTTCTCTCAATGAGCTTCATGATTTATTTATTTTATTTTTATTTTTTTATCTAAAACAACTTCAATGAGAATCTACAATGCAAATAATCATGGAAATAAAGAATAACCACAAATGGAAAGGTGTGTCCAAAATTTTGACTGGTTTATCTAGCTGGCCCTATAGCCTTGCTGGACGATGTCCATTTGTTATTTTTCAGACAAGCATTGCGACTGTGATTGATTTTTTTTATCCCAGCATTGTGTTCAAATTTCACATTTTAAGTGTGTCCAGAAGAATTGACAAAAAGATTGAAATATGAACTGACAAACGAATACAAGAATCACATTTCAGAACAGTCCTGTACAGATCTAAACTACAGGGTTTGCAGTTTTTATGCGGAATTATTTGTTTTGTGGAGGAAATGATTATAAATTTGAGCCTTTGTGATTTGCCAGTTGCATCCATTCAAACTGCAGTTTTGATTCAATTGTGATTAATTTTTCAACCATTTAAGAAGAAGCCAGTTGTTTTTTGTTGGAATCTAAAACATTGCCAACAGTAACAATGGACCACTGGCTCATACTTAGCACATTAGAGTAAAATGCATCTTAAAGCTGCACTGTGTAACTTTGTGGATGGTCTGTCACCATGGAGATGCTGTTGCTTTGCCTGGAATTTTTCACAGTACAATATTAAACGTATCTATTATATTTTATATCTACAGCTCTGGTTTGTGGAGACATGGGCCCGCTTACCTTAGAATGCATATTTTTCACTGCCCATTAAACAATAAGCAAGTTTAATGCCATACTGTGGGACATTCCGGGGAAAGCAATCTCCCGAGCATATCTCCATGGACACAAACAGGTGCTGGACTTGTACCAGAATGTTACACAGTGCACTTTTAACTCAAACTGATCTGCGAATACCGTGAAAGATGAGACTAGAATAAATACACAGCCTCTTACCTGTGTGTGGATCTCCTCATTAAAGGAGCGCTTGGCCTCTTGTTTCTTTTTCACTGCCAACAGCTCCACCAGAGGTTTGATGGTCATGCCCTACGGGGAAACAAACACATGACTGTAAATACATTGTGCACATTGTTTTGTAAAGGGACCTGCTTTGAATGAACTTATTTACAGTTTATTACAGAATCCCATTACTGTTGTTTTTGATTCATCAAACAGCACAGCCTGAAAACGCAGCCAAGAGGTTGTGCTGCTTATCAGAACGGATTAGCTTTATCACTTAAATAACCCAATAAAGAAATAAGTCACCTTGCCAACTTGTGTTCACAGAATATTAAGCCATTCGACAGTAAATGGCCATAAAGATACATAAAGGTTGATAGATTCTATTTTAGTTGGAGCAATGATAAGGCTAATGTCCGTTGGTTGTAAATACTTTTTCATATTGCAGATGTGGACAGAAGAAGATTAGAGGAATTGTAAGTAGCCTGGTGCGTTAGTATTTGATTTGAACATGTCCACATCGTATCAGGGGCACAGTTAGGTTGCGTTTATGGAATCTAAAATCTAAATCTTACATGCAGTTCCTTTAAATTAATTATTTGACTGAAATCACTGCTTTCCCCCACCGCAAAAGACCTTGAACTTTTTGCCCTGCTATCTCAGCATCAGATGCCCTGGCACTGTCTCCCGCATAATGAATAAAACATTACGATCCAGCCTCAGAGTAGACCTTTGGATTCCATTTGAGAGGCAGCCAATCGTCTCGTCTCCCTGAGTTTACCTCCAACAGTTCCTAATGGACAAATGCAGTGGAAAGGAACAATACAATTCAGCTTTTTTTTCTTTTTTTTTTTTGATGCGTCATATTATTTGATGTGACAAGCACAACGGTCTCCTTGGTAACTGCCGGGCTGCCTGTTTTTCCTCACGGGACAAACACTGACTGAAAATGAAGCTTCGGATCATCTTGTTCTTATTAACTATACACAGTTAAATGATGTGTGCTATACCTGAACAAACACAGTGAAGAAAATGACGGTGATGATGGCTGTGAGGAACATGTCTTTCTTGGGGAAATGCACATCGCTGAGGAGGAAACCCAGTGAGAAGGCAATTGCTCCTCGCAGGCCACCGTACGCGATAATGAACTGGTCCTTGGTTGTTAGTTTTACCATGCGGAACTTGTTGATGATGCAGGTCAGGCCAACCACACCTGGAAAATAATAGAGATTAGAATAGATTAGATTAGAGTAACTGTCTGCCCTCCGTATCAGTAGAACTTTCCAGAGCAGTAATAACATGGCCATAATATCATAGTTAATAAAGTGTAGTAAAACATTGTAAATTGATACTGGTAAATAGGTAATTTTATGTGTGAGAGACTTGCTTAAGATCACCTTTTGCAGTTCCAGCTAAATCTGTTGTTTATAGTCAGACTGTGTGTAAAACACAGCTTAAAATAAAGTTTAATAAAGCCAACATAATAAAGCGATAAGATATATGATTTTAACTGTAGACGGTTGAATAAATAACTACTTTGACACATTGTAAATACAAATTAACTACTGAAAGAGTTATGTATACTGTATATCAATAATCATATTATCTTGCACCGTTTCCTTACGACCTCTTGTATAAAATCTCCTATTTACACCAAAAGTGTAACAGCGTGTAGGCGCAGCAGCACAGCATAAGAGCAGCATATGTGCAAGTTTGGTTTTCCATTTGAACTGGTCAGACAGTCTACACCAGCAGTGTCATACGCGCGTCCATCGGCCGTCATGACGCTACACGCCACTCAAAATAGGTTGGAGTTCTAATTTTGCAGCATCAACAAAGCGTCTCTAGACTTTTTAGCATGGGAAAGGCAGGAAATGGGCATGCGGTGTCAAAATAAACTTTCAATGCACTTTCAAAATACATTGTTTAAAACCACTATTACAGTCGCGTAAACACCGTGCGTCGCATCCAGGAGCTTGGGGAATGACTCGTGAAAGACTATGGAAAGTTTACAGCTGTGGGGGATAAATATAAAACACTTTACAGCATCAGACAGAAACTTTACAAGAACAACTTCTGAAGGAAAAGCCGTGTGGTGCAGACAACCAAAGTGAAATGGTGAGTAGCCTCATTAATGCAGCAGCGCAGATATGGCTCGTAATCATTGCAAAGCATCGTCTCTCTTGTTGTCAATCTTTGTATTGTGATTTAAAACATAATTCATCCAATCAACAATTAATATATAAGCAATGTAAAACGTTTAGTGTTTAAACATGAGAATACACAGAGTCTGGTGTTTAAATGTGAGAATACACAGACTCTGGTGTCACAGCAGCATGCAGCTCTGCCTATGTTATGTGCTGCTAAGCTCCTGGTGTAAATTCCAAGTAACTGTGATATACTGTATTTATATTATGATATTTGTGTTTTACTTACTGTACATACATTTATATAATTTATGTCTTATTAATACGAGTCTCTTGCTATTTTTTTTTATTGCTACTTATTTAGAAGCTTAGTAGATTTTTTTTCTATATAATTTTTTACTCTTTGTTATTGTAATATAATGTGATATGTGAGCTGCTATGTCCAAGTAATTTCCCTTGTGGATCAGTCTATTCCAATTTGTGTTATTTAAAGATATTTTTCATTTAGATTATTTTTGGGGGGATGTTCCTGCTTTAGTGTTATTGCGTCTTTTGATATTTTCATTTATCGTCTATATTTTTGTTACCAATATAACTCACTTCAAAACAACTGTAGTGAAATAGTCAATAAAACATGTAAGAAACACAAACTGACCCATGACCCTTGCAACCAGACAGAGGAAGACGGTGGCGGTGACGAAGATCCAATTCCAGGAGTGGTGTTTTCCGTCCACTGTAGCCACGCCGAGGAAGATGAAGATGAGGGTCTCGCTGACGCTGCTCCACATCTTCAGGAAATACTTGATAGTCGTGTGAGACTTGTGAGAAATATTGGCCTCCACGTACGGTTTCATGACAGCTCCACACGCAATCAATCTGTACAGAGAATACAAAAGCATGTGTTAGAAGGGTATGGTATTCAGTAGGTGTTAGCAGGTCAACTGATACTTTGCAGCTGACATCAACATTCCCTGGGGGTGTGACGCTAACAGGAGGCACTGCTCTGTCTGAAGCTCTGGTACTCAAGTTGGACTTTGTAACTTTTTGTTTGGGGGTCCATTACCTTTTTGTTTCTATGGCTATGTCATTGCTCTGCTTCAAATGTTTCATAATGACATTAAACAGATCTCGCTTACGTGGTTTTAATTAAACGAGGTTTTGGACTCAGAGCGGGGTTGCTTCTCCACAGATCTGACCAGTAACTTGGTCTGGTAGAAAGGTTTAATGCCATACTATGAAACATTTTAGACAAAGCTCTCACCTTTATGTGGAAAATCAAGCACTTAAACACGACAATGAACATTTGTATTGATCCCAGGCTCCTGAAAATGTGTTGTTTAAATTTATTTTGTTATTGCATTGTTTTTTTGAGCATTCAGACAATCTAAAAACACTGTGTCGCCATGGTGACTCATAGACATTCTGCAAATAAAGATAAAAATAAAAAAAAAAAACAGCATGATGTCACTACAAAGTATCAATAGAAGTAAATATTTGACTAGTCCATAAAAATAATCACTGACTCAAGCTGACCACTAAAACAATCATTACTTGTTTCCATATTACTGCAGAAGGAAAAGATAAAACTCCAAAGTAACTTGATAAACGCACTAACATTTTCCCAGAATGGCTTGAGAAAGCTTTTAGTCCTTGACGCTGCTACACAAGTGACACTGAGAACATCACCTCTGCCGGGCCCCATACTCTATAAGTCACCGAGCCTTCAGCGGAGACAGGATTGATGTGTATGGGATGGGCTCATGGGAAATGGCAGCCCGGACTCTGTTGGACTGGGTTATGATGACTTATATAATAGCACAGGTCCCATGATCTATGTCCTTGCTGTTTGCCAAGGAGGGATAGGTGACTGTTAGTGTCCATGAAATGTCAAGGTTGTGCAAAGAGACAAGCACTCAATCACAGACTATAGACAGTGTACAGTCAAAAGGAGTTATGCAAAATGAATGACCTTGGCTTATGCTGTATAAAGGGGTACGTTATTGATACTTTGCAGTGACATCATGCTGGGGCTGTTCTACAAGTATTTCTGCAGTTACCACAGTGACACATACCCTGATTCATCAGCCGGTTTCACTTCGTGGAAACCATCTGACCTCGCAGCATTAGGATTTGTTCACTCAACGGTAGGTGGGTACTTTTTATATTTAACCAATCACTGCCATATGTAATGTGCCAAATCCCATAGGAAGAAGGGCAATAACATCTTTCCCCTTGATAAAATTCACCAAACGTTGTCTTTGTTCTGGCTTTAAATCCTCAATCTCGGGAATCGCTGCCAACACAGAATGTATGGCTTCGTCTACATCCATCTCGACCGCTTTGTTTACTGTTGTACTGTACCATAAAAGGGACCCAGACAGACAAAATGAACATCTTTGGTTTATCGGTGCATCCTGTTAATGAACCCACTACACACCGCATCAAGTTTGTCATGTTCCTGAGTACAGTTTTGTATAATCTTTTTGTATATTTATGAAGAATTGTCGTGTGGGAGCATGGGTGACATGGGCTTGTGGGCTGAGCATTGCACAAAATCTTACAGCTAACTGTAAGAAGGGTTCGAACAGGGCCCCAGATAACTAATGTTATTCCAAAGCCCAGGAAAATGATTTTGGTATTATACAAATGTTCAGCCCTACAGACAAGTTTATCCATTTATCCATTATTCCACAAAAATCAGTTACAGGGGACTCACAAGGGACTAGTATATAGTATAAGTACCCCTAACCAACCCTAATAGCAAGTACAGTGACATTAAGTCATGTGTGATCTGTTCCAAGGAAGTAGGTATTTAAATCTATCTAACTGTAATGTATTAATTTATAAAACTTGTCTCTTAAAAAGTACAGTTTCTCCCTTTCGTTCTAAATGGGAAGCGCTTATAGGGGTGAGATTGTGGTTCCACTGACTTTTGTTATCACAGTTATCACTCCTCTGTCTGTTACTGCTGCAGCGAGCATCGTCATTTTGGTCTTAAAATGTCCATATTAACCCACAACACAAGATCAATCTCAAGTTATTCAGAAAAGGTTCTCTTCTGTTTCAGTCCTAGTTTTGAATTTTGATTAGTGACTGATTTTGTATTACTTTTAACAACACTAATTACATCTGTGGTGGACTTACGCCATGATGCCTGAAAGGTGGAACATCTCAGCGGACAAGTAGGCCATGTAGCTGTACACGAACACAAACAGCGGCTCTATGACTCTCATGTGTGACGTGAAGCGCGAGGTGAAGGCAGCGAGCAGACCGTAGATGGCGCCAACCAAAACTCCGCCCAGAGCCACCACCAAAAAGGACACGATGCCCAGAAAGCCATCCAATACAGTGACGGTGCCAGCCCCGGCGTACTCCTCAAACAGATGGTACAGCACCTGGACACAAGATATAGAAGAGGTGGGTGAGCACCTGGCTGCGTGTACAAAGACATTACACACACGGACCTTGCAGATTTTTAGATAATATTGAACTGCTTTTCAGGTAAAAATATAGAGACAATGATAGCATTTGAAAGTACAGTTTTCAGGATCAAAATGTCAAATTTGTAATCTGCAACCATTATAGATTAAATGATAAGTAAGCCATAATTATTAATATTTATATGAAGAATAGTAGAAAATAAGTTATTGTGTGAAAAATATCAATAGAGAATTCATACTACTAAAATATAATTAAGATTTAAAGTGATAGTATGTATGCTGGAGGTAGAAAGTCAACTGCGTGCTTCCATGGAAAAGTTGAAGCCATACACTGGAATATTCCCCATGAAGATATACATTTCACGTGGAACAACTTTTGCATGGAAACAAGCAGGAAGAGGCCCTCCTCCAGGACAAAAAAAAAGGGTCAGATTTGTGGAAATGCGAGACCACTTACAGTACAGATGCATGTTTTCTATATTTTTCAATGCTATAAAAATAAACTAAAAATACTATGACTTTAATTAAATCTCATGTCATTGTACCAGTCAACATTTTATTTAACAATTTAATATTTCTTCAAAATATTTTAACCACCACTAATTTGGAACAGTTTAAGGTCAGATGTGGCTTCCTGATTCTTTTTCTCTTCTCTTATTTGTGGTTTAGACTAAAATGTACACTGGTTTCACTTCCTTTCTGGCTGGATCAATTTACATATGGAAAAGAAGAGATGTAAGTGTGTTTAATGTGTGTGTTATTGCTTTGTTGCTGTTGAAATGTTTCTTTGAATGTTTCAGTATGGCATTAAACCTTTCTATCATCATGGAGAACAAAACAGACCAAGTTACAGGTCAGATCTGTGGAGAGGCAAACCCTCATAGTCAGAATGTCTGTTTTTCTCTTTTTGAGCTATAAAACCACCTATAACTTTATACATTTAAAGTAGATCTGTTTATGTCATACTGTGGAACACTCCAGGCAAAGGAGTGACATTTCCATAGAAACAAGCAGGCGACGAATCCTCAGGCAAAAAGTTACATAGTGTACCTTTAACTTGCCGAGTCAGAGTTACTGTCAGACATATTTTTAAAAACTGTCCCTCCATAAAAGTCACAGCGTTGCTTATTTGCTCCAGTCACTTACCACAGTGACAGCATCATTGAGCAGAGACTCTCCAAACACCAGAATATGCAGCAGCTCATTTATGTGAATCTCCTCAAAAACAGCCAGCACAGCCACGGGGTCCACCGCCGAAATAATGGACCCAAACAGCAAGCACGGCAGCAGCTCCAACTGGTGAAGGTCCGACGGATAACCCGGGTTTATCTGACACACGGCGTACAGCAGACCCCCGACGAAAAAGGCGTTCCACAAAGTTCCCACCACGGCGAACATCAGGATCGTGCCCAGATTTTCCATGAAGGGCCGGATGGGGAGGAAGTAGCCAGCGTCAAGGATGATGGGAGGTAGCAGGCAGAGGAAGAAGACATCGGCGTTCATGACCGGGGGGACCTCTTCTCCGGCCAGTCTGATGAGGCCCCCCACCAGCAGGCCCACGACGATGAGGAGGCAGCTCTCTGGGACGATGTTGGACAAGCGTGGGATGAGATGGAAGCCTGGGAGGGACAAAACAAAGGCAGTTTAATGAGGTGTGGTGAAATATGAAAGTTTTAGGAGGTTGAAATATGGGGAAGGTCACTACAATCACTACATTGATAGAGTCACTGTACAGGTTAATTATACAGAAAATAGGTCTGGGAATCATACTCTGGGGTGTATGATGGGGTGGGGTGGCAGTAGTTCAGTTGGTAGAGCATTCACCCACTGATCTTAAGGTTGGCGGTTCGAATCTTGCTCTCGACATAAACATCACGGGTTGAGCAGTCAGATTCCAGCTCCCACAAATGAATGCTGTCGTTGTGTCCTTGGGCAAGACACTTAACCCACCTCGCCCACAGTGTCTGTATACACTGGTGTATGAATGTGTGTATGAATGGGTAAGTGGGTCCTTGTTGTAAAGTGCTTTAAGTGCTTTGAAGGAGGAAAAGCGCTATAAAAAATGTGACTATTTACATTTTAGCAACAGTATTTCTTTGTTAAACTACTACCTGTGCGAAGTTAATATGAAATACATATATTTTAATTATCAAAACAGTGAAGATGTCAAGAGCATTTCATAAACAAGTTTCCTTCCTCTAAATGAGATAAAAGATACAAAACTATACGATACAGCATCCCACTATAACAGTACTGTATCACCAAATTTAGTATCATGGTATTTTGATATTTTGAACACCCCTAATAAAAACTGTAACATATTTGAGTATTCCAAAATAAGACTGCACTGATTGGGAATCAGTTTCAACTCCTGAAGTTCATGTTTTCAAACTGTAATTCATTTCACACACTGCACATATTAAACACATCCAGGAACATTAAAGGTACCGTTTGATTTTTTTTTCACCACTAGATGTCAGATGTGAAACCTGCACCCACAGATTATTTTCCTCAAATTATGCAATTTCAATGTACTACAGACTCCTCCACAGCCATTCTTTACCACAGATGTTAAACAGATGCGTTGTCACATTTTGAGCAGTGATCTCTTTAATAACAAAGCTTTAATTAGATTTAAAATCAATAACCGATACGATAAAAAGTGCACATATCAGCCAACTGATATATAAATCTAAAGAGAAGTCATTTGTGCAGCCTTATTTCAATTAATTCAAGTCTGTGAAGTGTGAAGTTACATTAAATTTGGTAAGCCGCTGTTCAGTTTGTTCATTATCTCGTGTTTCATTTCATTAAGCATATCTTAAAAATGAAAAGAATGTTTGGAAAGATAAAACAAACCACGTGCAGGTCAAACCCACAAAAATACAAACAATGTGTATTATGTGATTCATGATGTTATCTGTTATTGTTTGGGAAATTAGTTTTTCTGCCAAAAACATATTTTAAAAAACCCCTACAAAATACCAATACAAAAGCGGTCCAAAGACCATCATTACTACAAGAACGTGACATACCACACTTCTATGAGCACAGTAGTGACATAGCACCACTCAAACTGTACAAACATACCACTTTGAAAAACACTCATGCTTTAAACAACACCCAATTTGAAAATAATGCTGATGAACATGTAGACCTGTCACTATAATTACTATATCAACTTATTGTTCAATATATGAAAGCTGGAACAATATTTTTTGGAGGTCAATATTTACCGTATGCATATTTCCTTTGCCCTACAGGGAAATTTGAGGTTATTTTTTAGCTATATGATGACTATAACTTCTATGACTCATTACAGATGCAAACTAAGTACTAAAGTGTTTCATTCTGCTGATTATTTACTGCAGTTCTTTTTTTTTTAAACAATATTGCTAGGAGAGTTTTTGTGTTTTTTTTTGTGTGTCAGTGGCATAAATAAATTTCTGTTTTATTGTTTATCATCTATATTTTCTTCAACAATATACTGAACTTCAACATTTTTAACACGTGACACATAAAATGAACACAATTTGGTTGGTCAAATTCTTCTCTCCATGGAGATGTTATTGCTTTGTCTGGGATGTTTCACAGCACGGTATTAATGAATTTCCTTTGGGATAAATAAAGTATTTACCCATCTATCATCTATTTAAACTCAGTGTTTCCTGCAGCACTTTATAGTTAAGGCCTTGGCAACAACTGGCCCCCACCTTGACTACGTGAATCCTCGCAAAACTACGGTTGTCACACGGAATCTCCATGCACCCCCGCTCCTCACTTCTCCATGCATGAAATTTGGAATCATGGAGACAAAAACAGACCAAATTACAGGTCAGATCTGTGGAGAGGCAACTCCACTCACAGTCAGAATGCCTTTTTTTCTTGCTATTTTTGAGCTATAAAACCACCTGTAACTGACTACATGTAAGGTAGAGCTGTTTAACGTCATACTGTGAAACATTCTATGCAGACCATTGAAATATCCATAGAAACAAGCAGGTGACGTAACAACCAAAAAGTTACACAGTGCACTTTTAAGAGGCTGTTTCCTGGTTTTAATTGCAGTGCAGGCTGGGTCATGTCTTTGCATACCTTAACACACATTACACTTTTTGCTTCATGAAGCACTAATTTAAGTCTCATGGGAGTGACAGAGTTTTAGTAGTGAGTAGTGACTCTGCAAATGCTGTGGTCTTGTGACTATCTAAAGGAAAAAATGGAAATAAGATGCAAAATTTTCAATGTGAAATCACCTGATGTGGCCCCTTCAAATCTGAAAAATGCATAGAAATTTCGGCAGCAAAAACAAATTCTGAAGCACAAAAAGCAAGAAATATTGTAATTAAACAATATTAAAGATTATTTTAAGCTGCTTTAAACATTATATTATTTCATGAAAATCCCAGTAAACCGTTTCTATGATATACTGTGGATAAATAGACACAGGAATAGGAAATGTTTGATAGTTCTGCAGTTTACAAAAATGTAGGTAAATGTCGTTCCATTTGAAAACTTATATGTTGAGAAGCTGACAAACATATAAGCAAGAAATTGTCTTAACAAAATCTTAAAGTTGCACTGCGTAACATTTCTAGTGGAGAGTCCGTCATTTGCTTGCCTCCAAGGAAATGTTATTGCTTTGTCTAGAAAGTTCCAGAGTACAGATTAAACCTATCTGTCACGAGGAGAACAAGCATGTTACAGCACTACATTACATTACAAGTCAGATCTGTGGAGAGTCGCCCCTATTCACATAAGGAATTACTGTATTTTTGAGCAACAGAAATACCTGCAGTGAATAAATGCTAGATGTTAGTCATGCCATGGAACATTCCAGGCAAAGCAATAATATCTCCATGGAGACAAGCAGGTGCTGGACCCTTCACCAGAAAAGTTCCACAGTGCATCATTAAATATAATAATTCAGTTCTTCTACAAACAACACATGCTTCTGATAAAAAAAAAAAAAAAACTAAATATGATAAATATAGAGCTCCAAAATGTTACTATGTCATAATATAGTAATTATTTGCCTATCAAATTTTACACTTTATTTGACAGTCTAATTTATTTCAGTGGTACTTAATGCCAGAACAACAAAGCCACAGTATTTAAATGACGTTCCAGTGAAATTCAGGGGTGGAATTGAATATATTTTCTTCTTCCCACTCCTTTTCAAGCTCAAATAAGAAAAGAAATACATATATGAAATGTGTCCTGGATGCATGTATATCTCTTTTGTTCTTTCATTTGATAGAAATGAAAAAATAAAAACAAACAAAAACAACCATAGCTCCAGAAAATGCAGTGTCATAGTAGAAAATGTCCTTCGGGGAATGTTAATGTCTTCGCGAGCACTGACGCCTGACAACATAGAGGCATTATTCAGCGCTTGAAATGTTGACTCGAAAGGGAAACAGAGCTGTATGCTTTCTACGGGGCTTCCACAAATGCCCTGTGTAAGCTGCCACATAGTTTTTTAAGACACCAGACACAACCATGGATTATACTGTGGTTATATTCTAACCCCGAGCTTTGAAATCCATTCACCACACACACACGCGCCTAAATGAAATGTCCAAAAATGAAAAGAGTGGTGCAGTGAATGACTGAGTGGTACAAAACAAGTCTTGAAGGTAGAAAAATAATTTGATAGAAAAACGCTGCCTGGAAGATGTAGGTGTGTAATTTGCTGTTTCCTAGGGATGATTTTGATTTGACACACAAGACACTTAGGTGGCATTTGGAATGGTTTATATTTTAATAAATGAATTGTAATCACAGCTACTTATTTCTAAACTGACCCTTGTGGGTTTTTAGTCATGTTATGAAACAGACCCAGATTTGTAGTTCATTTCATTCACACATGCTTGAGTAATACTGCATTACCCGGCTGCCTACATCTCCAAAACAATTCTAATGAAGGTGTATATCAGATACCGTTGCTTTTAAAATTCTAACTATCCAATGCATGCAAAACTATAAAGCCTAGTGTGGCCGGACTGGTGCCAGCGATGTGCTCATGGCATACATATCTTGCATTATATAGCAGGGGCTCTCAAACTGTGGTATGCGGGTTTCCTCTGGTGGTATTGGCTTTGTTTAGCAAGGCAAGGCAAGTTTATTTGTATAGCACAATTCGTACACAGAGTAATTCAAAGTGCTTTACAGAATAAGAAATACATTAAAATCACAATAAAAACAAATAATCAAAACATAATTATTCACTTTTTTCAATTCTCATATTCAACCATAGTCAGTTTCTATGGTAAACCAATCTTGACCTGATGACCCAACCAAAATAAGTCAGCATAGAAAAGTCATAGTAAGTGTCTGTATATATTTACTACACACCTCTACTGTACTGAGGCATGTCATTGTCACTGTCTCATCTGCTGACAACACACATCAGCAGCCACTCAAACGTAATCTGATCCAGGTACTGCTACTGCTAATGTTTTTGATGAGGAAACACCAACATAGACATAGACATAACATAGATCAGAAAATAGCATAATAACATATAATACAATCAAGGGAATCAAAAATTAAAATCTGCAATCATACCATTTATTAAATCAACTTTCAAATCTAAAATTTCCTTCAGGATTAGGAT